AACATATTTATGAGAATCAGCCTTTTCCACATTAATTATTAATAAACGTTGAAAATTTATTACGATCTGCACTAACTCAAATTGAGCCTAGATTTAATTATTTGTGTAAAAATAAACAATCATATCCGTCACATTAATATTGTTTGATGTTAATATGATTTTATTAAAAAAATTGTTACAAAAGTTTATTTTTTCTATTGAATATATAGATATAGTTTTATGTTCTCTTATAACAAAATTGTTACAAAAGTTTATTTTTTCTATTTAATAAATATATATAGTTTTATGTCATTCTATTTATTATGTTTTATTACGACCGATATCCCGTCAATGTTTATATTTATATATATTATATATGTGTGTGTGTGTGAAATGCATGGGTACGTATTCTTTAATCTTTATTAACTTCCCGTAGGGTAAGTTATTGTAATGGGCCGAAAATCGGAATTGAAAATTTTTACATTTCTCGACGTTTTGAAGGTTTCTGAACGTTTTGGCATACCTCAGAAAAAATGGATGTGTGTGTGTGTGTGTGTGTGTGTGTGTGTGTGTATGTATGTGTGGATACAAATTTCCAGTCACGTTTTAGGGCGCACGGATCAACCGATTTGAATGGTTCAAAAAACATTCGATTCCTATTGATTGGGAAAAGAGCTGATTAGTTTTTGGCAAAGGCAGGTCCAGCCGTTTCGGAGATACGGAGCAAAGAGTGCAGAAAATAGAAATCGAATTTTTGAGCGAACGGAGTATCCGATTTGAATGATCTAAAAAACATTCAATTAGTAATGATTGGGAGAAGTGTTTATTACTTTTTGGCAAAGGCAGGCCCAGCCATTTCGAAGATACGGAGCTAAATATGTAAAAAATGGTAGTTTTTGAGAGAACTAAGCGTCCGATTTAAATGATTCAAAGAACTTTCTGCTTGTCTTAACAAAATAATTGATTTTGAAAAAAAAAATTTTGTTCCAATTTTTTTTTTTTTTTTAGTATTTTGTATATCGAAAATATTTCAGATTTTATTTTTAATTCTGACTATAGTTCTAATATACTTTACAAATAATTTCATCTCTGCAATTCGGTTTATATAATTCTTATAAAAATTACACAATGTTACAATATTTATAATAATCTATTTGAAAACATTCAATATTCCTCGAACATTTCGTTACGGTGCGGGAAGTTCCAGCAATTTGCCTTAAGGCACGATGCCACCCACCCCACTAGTTTTATTTACATTGTAAAATAGTGCGATATTACATCTACATCTACGGTTAATATATATTTCATTATATGGAGGGGATCGAAAATGTTTTCAACAGTGACAAACAGGGAGAAACATGTTGAATTTGTCGGGAGAAACGGTTGTAGAAAATTGCTCCTTAATTCACACTTTTGTGACAATATACAAATAGGTTATGTTTATAATTTTAGTGAATACAAAATATAGTTTTATATGTAATCGGCCTACAACAAATCTCTCCTTCCAAACAACAAATGAACTCTTCGGTAAGAGTTTGTATCTATATTAATACAAATAAAGAGAATATTAATTTTCTTTTTACATTTTAGCTAGAACACATCAAATCATTAGGTTGTCAAAATGCAAGAAAGATTCAGATGGCTTCTATTTTATATCAACAACTAAGCGATGGTTAGAACACATATTTATATTAAACACATATAAAAACTAACCATGATGTCATTTATATTTTTTTACAGTAAAATTGAAGTACAACATTAATTGTAAATATAATGCACATTTAGATTTATTATATATTACTGCTCGAGACTCCAGTAATTCAAGAGATGATATTTATATACCTCAATCGACATCTGATTTAATCAGCTTGCAAGATGTTTATAATTTTCAATTTATATTAGAAAGTTCACGGTAACTATGCTTCATTATCAAAATAATACTAGAGTTTTTCTCATTGGGCTAACAAATTTCTTTTTTTATTTTAGTATCATCTTGGCTATTATGGAAGCTGATTCAACAATTGTCTATTATGAATTTGCAGAAGGTTTACAAGATTTTCAAATAAATTCTGATGTTAAACAAAGTTCTTTGCAGAAAGCTCGAGCAAAGCAATATTCTAATATTAGAAAAATATATTCCGAACAAACTGAATGCAAAGAAAATGTTCAATAAAGAGAATTAATAAATTAAGAGCACTTTTTTTACTACAGATCGATTAATTTTATACAAATTTTTCAAACATATTATTTGTCATCTTTATTGTAATTAAATCATTTATCATATCATAGTCCTCCACGATTTTAGTATGTTAAAAATTAAAATGTATGAATCGATTAAAACTTTGAAAACTAGTGAGGTGCATGGCATTGTGCCTTAAGGCAAATTGCTAGGACTTCCCAACTTTGCTGGAAAATCTTGGTACGGAACCCAAAAAAGTTTACACAAAATGTACACATTATTTAAATGTATATAAAACATCTGATAATTTGATGTACCTGATAATATATCTGATAAAATGTTTTTTGAATTGATAAAATCGGACGCTCCGTTCTCTTAAAAACTGACTACCGTTTTTGGCACTTTTTGCCCAGTATCTACGGAAAGGCAAGACCTGACCTCGCCAAAAACTAATCTGCACGTTTCCTTATCAATACAAATCGAATGTTTTTCGAATTATTCTAATCGGTTGATCGGTGTTCCCGAAATCGTCGACGAAAATTTGTATCCGCATACATACACATACACAAACAAACACACACATACATCAATTTTTTCTATTGTATGCCAAAATGTTCAAAAACCTTTGCAACATAAAGATATAGATTTTGCGATTACTATAACTTACCCTACAGGAAAATAATAAATCTAAGTTCTCCGATTCTAAAACTGAAATTTTGGCAAAATCCTAAACTTCTTTAGGAAATTAATAAAACAATATTTATTTGTTGTAGTATATGCATCATTATTAAAACATTGCCATTTATTTCGCTTTAAGCTTCCAAAAATATATCTTAAATTTTTCATTAATATGTTTAAATATGTACATATATATGTAATTTAACCATTAACAATAGCTCATATAAAACAGAAACAATAACGCCCATTCTTTAACATGACAGCATGTTTAAAAGATCAACAAATCAAAATTGCAATTGTGCAAATACTAAAATATCTTTAATAAGTGCATAATGAGATGGGATTAAAATGAAGAGAATAATGATCATTATTTAATCAATAGATTTTAACTTAATTATGTGGATGATATACATGTATGTGTGAGATGTATTTTCGCATGTATATGCACACAAATCATATACAGTAGAATCCGCTTAGTATGACATCGAAGGGACGTATAATTCCTAATTAAGAAATATGTTTTTTTACTATTTTTCTAAAAAATTTCATCTTATCCTTTTTACTGTATAGGCAGGGTAAAATGAGACAGCCAGGCGGCGAACAGATGCAATTATATTCAATTTTAAAGAGTTTTACGAAATAAGAGCTACATTATTCAACAAATAAAAACTAAATTTTTGGGTAAGATTTTTACAAAGATAGCACTGTATATAACATTGGTCCTATATTTCATTAGAAATATTCATCAATAGAGGTAGAATAACTATTTATTTAAAAATATTTAATTAATTTATTTTTTTATTTGCTATTATTTTACAGTTTACACCTTTCCAGGGTAAAAATTCAACTGGTCCATTTTACCCCACTCAATTTTAGCTTTTATAGAGGTTATATATAAAAAAAGCTATTGAATATAACTTAAAAGTAACAATACATTGTATAAAACAATTAAAAAACGTATATGTGCCTAAAAGTTATATTCAGTCCATGTGCTATTGTGTGCAAAAACATAGGAATTGCTTTCGTAGACTCATCATGTAACATCATAATCTTGGCGGTTATTATAACTGGATAATTTTTTTTTAAACTGGGTCATTATAAGTTACATGTCATGTCAATGTAAGCAAAATCAATATATCTGATTGTTTTATAATGAATTTTATATGAAAACTAAACTTTATAGTACGATTGCGTCAATATATGCGGCCGGTCAATATATCCGGTGTCATACTAAGCGATTTCAGTTATTATATATATATATATATATATATATATATATATATATATGCATGTATGTATGCTAATTTATATACATAAATTTATGTATTATATATAAATATTTCTATCAAATTACTATCACTACAATGCATCTGCAATTTTATTAATATATAGAATATAGTTCGAATTCTATATGAATTAATGTAAAATAAGATATAAGTTATTAAGTTATTACAACATAATATTTTACAAACACAAAATTAGAGCATAGAAATGTCTATGCATTCATATTTGTATAACATTATGTATTTAATGACTTGATAAAACAAATATGTATAATTTTTTCCATTCAACTTGAAAATCATTGTTATGAATACACTGTTTTCAATTAGATTATCCTTCATATTAAAAAGCATAATTTTGAGAACACCTACTTGTACTCAAACAAAAACATGTTAAATAAAATTCAATATTTTTACCTTCATAATTTATAAACTAAAACATTTTCATCATATAGAGCATACTATTGGCAATATTTTGATAATATTCAATTACCAGTTAATTGCATTTACAATGATGGTATGCATTTAAAGATTATTATTGAAAAAATATAAAATATGTAGATCAAATATAATATACTTAAAATATTGACTATAATATCTAAACACATAAAACTTGATTAATAAACAAATCCGAATAACACTGCTGGCTAATAACAATATAATCTTATATTATTCACAGAATATACATTTTCTATTTTACAGCAAGTATGCTTTCATGTATTACATGTGAAAAATAAATTAAAGGAAGACAAATTATCTAAAAACAGTTTTTAAGTTGTGAAAGTAATACTGTATTTCTGCATTGTATAGTTATAGCTATTTTTTTTTAAATATAGTCTTAGTAGTAGAACAGCTAGCAGCATAATCAAATAATTTATATTAAATATATATATATATATATATATATATATATGTATATATAATTTTATGATATGAGTGGAACAAATATTAAATGTTAAATATGAACAACACAACACTCAAATTTTTACACACTCTTTATTTAATAATTACAGACATGTCGAGACCCTGGTATGCCTCATCTTCAGTGTAATTTCAAGACAGTAAAAATTATATACTAATATATTATTTAATATTTTATTTAAATTATATTTTATTTTTGAAAAACAAAAAACATTATATAAATAACATTAATAATTTATAATTTTTGTTTGTTTATTAATTTCATTCATTTATCTAATTCTCTTCAATAAATTAATCTGTTTTCACATTTGTTAATTTTAGTATGCAATTGCGCACTCCTTTTGTTTACATTATAATAATATCTACCTTGTCCCTTAATCTTCTTCGACACTTAAGATTTGTTTTCAAATCTTTTTGTATATATTCACATGTTTAGTACTGTGTCAATCATAGTACGAGATAGTTGGTGTTTTTTGTTTTTCAAAAATTAAATATAATTTAAATATAATATTTAATAATGTATTAATAAATGGCATACCATGGTCTCGAAACGTGTAATTAATAAATAGGTAAATGTCTGTAATTATTAAGTGTGCAAAAATCTGAGTGTTGTGTTGCTCATATTTAACATTTAATGTCTAATTCTGCATTCAGATAAAATAAACCAAGTTTTTCAATATCACAGAATATAAAAAAGTGATATATGAAATAAGTTTTGCTATCATAACTTAAAACAGTATGAAGAAAAATGGTAAATACCCAAAATATTAAGCAACATGAAAAATAATGCTAAAGCAGGTTTACATACTTAAAAGAAAAAAATTATTTTATGCTGATATAAGAAACAACAGAATCAGGAAGATATATGTATCTTCTGCACCATAATGAAATAAATTAAAAAAATGTTTCATATACACTATGTTATTGTTATGAACACATTATTCAAAATACATGCAAAAACGATACATTTCAAAAGATATTGCTAGCTGCTGGACTAGTGATTCAGTTAGCAGCGCTTTCACTTTTAATTATTTCTGCGTCAACGCAATTAGACCAATATCTAACTAACGGATAGTTCCAATATTGCAATAGCTGCCTTTTTTGATAACTGATTCTATAGCAAACAGATTTATTTATAAAATATTAAGGCAAGAATAATTATTCTAAAGGCACTTTTTAAACAAAAACGGAGCTGGTTCGAAGCACCATAAATATAAAATATTTAACAAACAATTTTAAAATGCTTAAAATTGCGGCATTGCAATCTTTCAAACTTTTTAGAAGTTTTGGCACTTCTATATATATATATATATATATATATATATATATATATATATATAAATGTATATATGTATATATTTGGCAGCTGACCTGCTAGTTCAAATAATATACAAACCTTGTAGAACATTATGAAATATTCACAATTACATTTAACACCAATCAGCCATATATGTGAAATCGCGGAATAACTTTTGTTCATCCTCTGTAAGAATTCTTGGTTCTTTAGGTGGTGTAAGTTGTGGTCTTTCTGATGTGAACTCTTCGTCAAAGTTACTTACATCTTCCAAAGAAGTCTTGAAATTATAATAAGATATTTAAAACAAATTACCAAAATATACTGTAATGTGTAATACTCAGTTTTTTTCTTTAGATTTTATGCTATACTTACGATTGTAGGAATGAAGGGTGGCTTAACCTTTCTTAGTAATAAATCATCCCATACAATTAATCTGAAAAATGCTTGTTTTTTCACATCTTCAGCATCTCGTTCACTTGATCCTAATCTTCTTTCAGGATTCTTTCTCAACAGCTTTAAATTAGAAATTATCATGGTGAAACGGTGGTTGCCATAAATAATTTAGATTTTGAGAAATCCTCTTGTACATATATTTTTGTAAAGCTAAGTATTCAAACTACCAAAACCATACATAGACGATTAATAAGGATAAAAGCAGTAACATGTATAGCAATTTGTCGATAACTCAAATAAATTACTGAGACCAGTTCTGCTATAAGGATATTAAAAAAACGTGGCCATAGGGCCTTAATTAGAGTACCACTCACTGGAGTGATTTCTGCACATTTGTTTTAAAAATGATATATTAGCTTTATTTTATTATTGCTGTTTATAAAATCAATAAAAGAAAAATATTATAAACATATTTTACTTACTCTTCTCATTATTGCTATTGCTTCCAATGATAAAAATCTAGGATAGCGTACTTCATCATTAACTATAGAATCAAAAACTTCTTCTTCATCGTCTCCCGGGAAAGGTGACTGGTAAATCAATACACACATTAAATTTTCGAAAACAAACTGACCAAAATAAAATATAATTAGAATGCACCGGTTTTTCACTTACCTCTCCTACAAGCATTTCAAATATTAAAACTCCCAATCCCCACCAATCCACAGCTCTTGTATACGAAGTTTCAGTTAGAACTTCAGGGGCCAAAAATTCGGGCGTTCCACAAAAAGTTCCTGTTCTATCTCCGTGTCCCATTCCTTCCTTGCATAATCCAAAATCGGCAATTTTCACATAACCATCAGTGTCCAGAAGCAAATTATCTAGTTTCAAATCACGATAAACAATCCTATTTTCATGAAGGTACTGCAAACCTAAAACCACACAAGCTGCGTAAAAAACTGCACGAGGTTCCGAAAAGACGTCAGCATGGATGTGCATCATGAGATCGCCGCCTGCCGCGTATTCCATAACGAAACAGACATGAGCCTTGAAAAAAAAATTATATATATGTATGAGTTCATAATTTACACTTAGAATCGAATAATTAAAATAAAATCCATTGAATAGATAAAAATATTGATTTGCTAACCTCCGTTTGAAAACAAGCAAAAAGATTAACCAAAAACGGATGTCTCATCGTATTGGCGACTTCGAATATTCTTTTTTCTGATAGCAGTGATTCAACTTCATCTCTTGCGATAATATCTCCCTTCTTTAAAGCCTTTATCGCAAAATATTCTCCAGTGTGACGATATTGTGACAATATAACTTTTCCAAAGTGCCCCCTTCCCAAAACACTCAGCAAACGGAATTGATCCATTGACATGCCTGCATATTGAGAATGTCTGCGCGATTCATAAGCGCTATCACGATATTCCAAAGGTCGTCCTGGTCTACGGCCAATTGCAGCTTGTTGATTTTCATATTGTTGAATTATCTAAAAAATAAAAATAATCATTCAGTCTCTCGTAAAAAATATACCATTCAACATCTATGTATTTAGTAAAAATTTACCTCTTCTTCTGGGAATTCGACCAAAGGTTGTGGCGACGGTGGTACTTCAACAATCGGAGAAGGTGGTACAGATCCTGGCTGCATTGGGAAACCAGAAACAACTAAAGGATGCGTTGAAATAACTGGTCTTAAAAGATCTGGTCTATATTCATTCAGATCATGAGGATGCGGAACGGCGGCGACAGCTTGAGGGATTTTATTTTCAATCGTCATTTTTCCAAACTGATGATTCATCGGATGAATTGGAGAAGTCGCCGTTGACTCCTGATTCAAAAAGTCGAACTCTCTGAGTGCTTTTTGCAACTATGAAAGCCCGAATACAACACACAGGAGGGAGGGACCACCAAAACCAACAAGGAAGAAACAAAAACAACACAAAAAGCTGTTAGTGATGAGCGTGATTAGGTAAACATTGTGTTCAGATAGTGTGCATGTTTATAATTTGTAAAATATTGTTAAATACAATAATTAATTAATTGAAAGGATAAAAACTGGCTATCTGAACGTGATTACAAAAACAAAGGCGTGTGCAAAAAGAATTCTTAAAAAAAAATAATATCAACATATTTAATTAGTCTTAATATATTAATCAAGCAGCATTTACTAAAGCGTTATATATTTGTAACACTGTGTTATACAAATTCTATCAGTAATAATTGAGAATTAGCATCATAATTGATCATTCATCTAAGAGTAACATCAAATTCAAACTGATAATATATGTATTTGCACCTAGCAAGACTTCTTGCATATTGCAATACGAACCGCACACCAGTTACTTGAGTATTTGAATAAAAGCATATAACATTAATAACTACTACCTCAGTGTCCATTCTCGGCGGCAATGCTGGCGGTAAAACTGCTGGTGGTTTTTTTGCACGGGGAGTAACTGGTAGTTGAGATTGATTTTGTTGGAGTAAATGCTGCGTAGGCGGAGTTTGATGCTGCTGGATTTGAGGCATAAATTGAGTTTCTGTTTGAGGTGTAGTGACACCTAATGGACGAGCACCAGATAAACCAGCAGCCTGAGAAACAAATCATTTATGGAAATATATAAAAATAAGATATAAAATTTAAAATCAGGGATAAGAATAAATTAAAACTCACTTGCATATCAGGAATTTCACCAGGTGTTTCAGCCTTATCTTCTGCAAGCGATGTATCGGCCAATGGTTGAACACCAGGAACAGCATCGTTTCTTGTGTTTTGAATGGACGGGGAAGATCTTTTCAGCAATCTACCCCATGTAGCTACATTGATGTTCATCTGGTTAGCTCGTGGAATATTTTTCACTTGTTGCTTGAATATTTTTCTCTGCCTTTGAAGTTTTGGTTTACGCGATATCATAGGATTCAAGAATTTTATCTGAAACAAATTAAAGGATTACGAAAAAGTTTAAAATTCATAATTTTAGTGATCAATATTTACCTCCGCAAAAAGCAGTCCCTGTGGCTCAAGTTGTAAAGCCATACCGTGACGAATATCATCAATAAACTCCTCTAGGCGCAAGAATTTAACTGCGCACAAAGAACGCCAATCACGCCAATAAATGCTAATTTCCAGTTCACGAGATTTATCCAGATCTATGGAAAATCTGTAAATTTGTAATTTTAATATAAATAAAAATACAACTTCGAACTACATTTACTATTTACTTACCTCTGATCCCATGCCTGCTGGGAGCACGGCTTCCAGCTGGTTTGCCCAACAGTCTGATTATCCAATTTTATAACGGCCATTATATCTTGACTTGTTTCATCTTTTACGGAATACGATTTGCTTGATCCTCTTCCTGTAACTCCTTTGACAAAAGATCGAAGATCACCGCCTCCGCCACCGCCTCCACTGCTACTGCTTGTTGGAGAAGAAACGGCATCTTTGTCACGCCGAGATCGACCAGGCACCTAGAAAAAGATGATTAAAAATTACAACTGAATATTTATAATTAAGTACATAAATAGTAATGAAACCATAATACTAACATCCTCTAGGAGATCCTGGCAACCCATTAAACGTACTTCTAATTTTCCAGTTACTGCAGCACATCTATTCATATTGGAAACACCTCCGTGAATGAAACTGCTTTGTATTCTATTCGTCGTGATACCACCTGTTTCATCAAAAATGTAAGTTATATATGAAGTATTTTTTTACTAAATATATTATTAAAAACCTGTAAGCGGTCTAAGTGGTGTATATGTGACAGGTCCTGGACTTGAAGCCTGCGCTTGCTGCAATTCATTTTTGAGTTGATTAGCAGCCGGTGAATCAGGTGGAAGTTCGGATCTCCGCAATTCGAGTGATTTTCTCAATAAATCTAACTTACGGCTAGATTCTTGGAGACTTTGTTGAGCCTAATAGAAAAATGAATTATAAATATTACCATGTAATTTTCTTTGAATGAAAAATTCACATTAAAACTGGAATATTATGTGTACCTACAAACAAGTTGTATTACTAATATAATGCATTAGAACAAGTATGTACTGTAAAATAAATCTATTGCACTCCACCGACTTATAATATTATAAATTATTAATTATTCATAACTGTATTTACAAAGATCTTGCTCAAAATTAGAAAAAAAATCTAACTAATATGAAGCCAGGCTGAGAAAGTTGTTCTGTCAAGACAACATGCCGCGCAGAATTAACTAAAAAAGCCGTTTAAAGCCTTATAATCCTTTCATAAAGCTATATAAAATATAAAAAAATCACAACTGTAAAAAAACATATCAATTCAAGGTGAATTGTCTCAGAAAAGAGATTGAATGTCAGAATCTAATCTAAATCTTTTAAGAGAAATAATATCAAATAAAAAAATAAAGTAGTTTTATTACGTGTGATATTGTCTGGGATTTTATTTTAAATTCATTTAAATACGCATGTAATTTTTTAATTTTTGTTCGAATAGTAATCTGAACTACATCTCGAGCATTCTATTTATTATTGATTAAAAAGCAACCCGTGATTGTCTTTTCTCTTTGTGATAATATTTTTATTGATATTTTAATAGTTTAGTAAAACGTAATGTAGCAATGTACCGAAAAATATTTAAACTAGCTGTAAGTGGAATTCTGTCTTGAGGCAATTATGGCATCGTGCCTTAAGGCAAATTGCTGGAACTTCCCGCACCGTAACGAAATGTTCGAGGAATACTGAATGTTTTCAAATAGATTATTATAAATATTGTAACATTGTGTAATATTTATAAGAATTATATAAACCGAATTGCAGAGTTGAAATTATTTCTAAAGTATATTAGAACTATAGTCAGAATTAAAAATAAAATCTGAAATATTTTCGATATACAAAATACTAAAAAAAAAAAAAAAAAAAAAAAAAAAAAAAAAAAAAAAAAAAAATTGAACAAACTTTTTTTTTTAAAATCAATTATTTTGTTAAGACAAGCAGAAAGTTCTTTGAATCATTTAAATCGGACGCTTAGTTCTCTCAAAAACTGCCATTTTTTACATATTTAGCTCCGTATCTTCGAAATGGCTGGGCCTGCCTTTGCCAAAAACTAATAAACACTTCTCCCAATCATTACTAATTGAATGTTTTTTAGATCATTCAAATCGGATACTCCGTTCGCTCAAAAATTCGATTTCTATTTTCTGCATTCTTTGCTCCGTATCTCCGAAACGGCTGAACCTGCCTTTGCCAAAAACTAATCAGCTCTTTTCCCAATCAATAGGAATCGAATGTTTTTTGAACCATTCAAATCGGTTGATCCGTGCGCCCTAAAACGTGACTGGAAATTTGTATCCACACATACATACACACACACACACACACACACACACACACACACACACACACACACACACACACATCCATTTTTTTGAGGTATGCCAAAACGTTCAGAAACCTTCAAAACGTCGAGAAATGTAAAAATTTTCAATTCCGATTTTCGGCCCATTACAATAACTTACCCTACGGGAAGTTAATAAAATGATTGAAATAGAAAAATTATTGTTTAAAAAATTCGTAGACAAAAATATTATATGCATAATACAACAGAGCATTGAATAAAACACGCAAATGACAAGAAATATACACCCAACAATAAGACAATTATTATATTGTTATTTTATGGGAAGAAAATAAAACAAGTGAGAACAATTGCTTTGCAGAAAACTGTTATATAACATCAATGTAGTTGCTCCAACAAGCTAGTTCCGTAATCCTCCGAGAAAAAACTTTTCCCTTATCAATTAATTGCAATGGCAATATTTTTATTCAAACTTAAACACGATTTACTATGTATAGTATTTACCATAGCGACATTAAAGTTATTTGAAAATAGTCAACAAAATTGTTTGGCACTTGTTGCAGAACCAGTCGAGTTATTTTTTAGTACAGATTAACAAACCCACAGTGAACGCTTCGATTGTGAACGTCTGTCGAAATGCACAAAATAATCATATATTATTCACTTTTTTATTTCTCATAATAAATACATTTAATAAACATTTTATCGATATGCGATACTATTTTTATCAAAAATCGTAATAAAACATTTAATAATCAATATACAAAATGATTTCTTTGATATAGTACATAATGTATAAGTTGAACCAGCCACCAGATACAGTTTATTAATAAAATATTGTCTAAATCAAAAATTAGAATTGATTCATTAATTGCGAAAGAATATAATTATTTGTATCAAAACGAATCTGATAATATTCAACTGAGTCTCATGTGTATTGTTATGAAATGATTAATTGAATAGTTACATGAAGATTCTTATGAATTCGATTACTATGTTTTATATTAAGATGATACAAAATATATTGATGAAATAATTATTACAAATGATATTATGAATATTGAAATACGAAACACGTTTATATGCGTTGAATTTTCTTCCCTTCAGTCGTGAATTATATTATCACAAATCAGTCCACCCTAAACTGACACTTTCTGGTTCTTCGCTCGTATTTCTTTGCTGTCCCGACGAATGTATGGTCTATGAATTTGTACAGCACCAGCACTAAAAGCTCGCCCCCTGGTTGCACCCCCCATTGACATCCACCTCTTGCAATGCTCACAAGAGCAATTAGGATTTTTGGCAGGACCAACATGATGGCCAGGTTTTTTCAACGTCCCCATAACATTTCCGAAACGCCTTGCACGTTCGAGGTGGCCAGTGAAGTACCCTGGCAATGTATTAATAAATGGAGATGTTGAACGAGATGATTCCTTTTCAGGAATGCTATTTTCTGATTCTTCAACTTTGACAGCGCCAGTGTTACCGATAGTCAATCTATGAACAAAGCCCTTATTTACTGCAGGTTTAATAGTACTTTGTTGTGTATGTTGTAAATCATTATCTTTTTTCGGAATATACTTTCCTTGTTGAACTGAGGAATATTTATGTTTGAGCTTGTTAAACCACATTCAATTTCAGGATTCTGAACTTTAGTTGCCACACCAGGACTTTGGAGCAGTTTGGATATAGTATCTGAACTGGGTCTCAAATTTGCATTGATTACATCAAATTTATCCTCGTGTATATTATAATAAGATATATGTTCTCCAGGAATGCAGTTTCTTTCATCGGCATCCATGGAAGATATCTGACTACTCATTTGTGTCAATGTCGGCCTATATAAATCAGTTTCTCTGCTTACAATACTACAAGGGCTGTCTTCATCTGTTTTAGAAAATATCCAGCTACTAGTTTCTTCGTCTTCTTCTTCATTACTCTCGTCACTATCTATATGTTGCAGTTTAGATCGTAATTTTCTCTCTACATCAGGCGACTTCCAAGTTTTACTCTGAATCCATAACAATCGGTCTAAAGCTTGAATACGTTCTTTATCTAGAGAGTCTTCGTAATCAAAGCTGTCAATACTTGGTGCCATACTTATCGGTCTGCTATTTGGTGCCGAATTCAATAAAGATTCCATATCCGACGTTGTTGTATCTTTCCAAGAAGTAGCATGACTAGAGAATCCAGTCTGCTTCCAGAATTCATCAGAGAAGACATCGTTGAAGCGCTCAAACCTTTTGCTATAGTAGACGAAAAGATGCCATTGAGGGATATCCAGATGAAGAACTCGGTTTAATACCTCCTTTGTGCATCATCCAAGCTCTTGGCAGTTCTTGGGTTTGATATCTTTGTATGACTAACACGTACCTTTTCTGATTCAAACACCGTTTGTGGGGTCGATGCTGTCGTCATTTTCACTATTAGAGCTTTTCTCACTATTTTCTCTATATTTTCCTCATCGTCAATCTCGGAACCTGTGCAATAAACATCTATGTGCACTGTGCGCGGTTTCGAGAATCTGAACTAGAGTTTCCTTCGGAAGTTTTAGAAATTTGCGATTCTGTTTGAGGTAAATTGGTTGATTTTCCGTTTAATTTGATCGGAGTTTGTACAGTCAAATTTGATATTTCGGGAGATGATAATAATTTCGATGCAGGAGAACGGCATAATCGTCGAGGGGTCTGAAAAAATACAAAACATAAATAAAATATAAATAAAAAAAACAGAATAATTTTGATTTCTATGTAGACTAACCGATCGAGAATTCCTCGACCCTAGTATGACGGAATCTGTTTCGTGCCTTCTCCTAGCATAAACCCTATTCTTCCTTCTAACGCTTTCAGCCCTATCCCTTTCATCTTCAGTATCCGCTTCCGTTGGAATAGGGGTTGTTTTGGGATGCAGCGTCTCTTATTTCGACCCTTCTCTCCGGTAACTCTGTGCAAAAATGCGTGGTGAAAGTATTCGCTCTCTTAGGAATGGTGTCTGCAGTTACATTTTCAGAAATTGTACTTGATGGGCATCTCAGACTAAAGGCTCTCCTATTAGGTATAGATGGCACCATCTGCATAGCATGAGGCGTTGTCAGTGTTATATTACAAGTGCTCCTGCATTTCTTTTCTTGCGAATGTAAAGAAGCAGGCTTTTCACTTGTATAACCAGAATCGGACATTTGATTACTTTTGCAAGGAGGAACAACAGAAAACGTCATACCACCACGATTGAAACCGTACCTATCAGTAGTAGGATTCAATACTGTGGCAGCTGCACCACCTGAGTCATCTCCACTGTGCCCATGCCAAGAATAAACTACCCGGACATTTCCATCTTCTGATGGATTTTTCGCTTCCTGTTCTGTTTCCTGTCCAGGATGAGATATAGTGACTTGCGCGTGCACCGTCCATTCCGCTGTTATTTCTGGTCTGTTGAACATATTTCACGTATTGCACACTGCATAGATTTTTTTCTTTACGAGTTCTTTTGGAAGTGATTTAAATTTTGTCATAATTGTATGCGAGATATCATTATCCTCAGCGTTCGTTCGATTCGATGTGATTCGACTTTCTTCAAAAACTTTGTTTCAGTATTCAAACAAACT